GTGGTAGATAAAAAGGTCTGCAGTTCAACAAAATGGCGGAGTGTTTCTCAACACCGCTGAAATTTTGCTACAGCCAGTCACATTCAAAAAAAGAAAAGAAATAACACACATATCATTCCAGTTGCAAAGATTTCCAGCAGATTACTTAACACAATATCATGAATCATTATATAGCTATTACTAGCTATTACACTTAGCGCACTATGCACGCACAACACTTCACTGAGAAATCTGCCTTACGAACACATAACGTCTAGTGTTAAATTTATCAATTTAAAGTATAATTTGCTTACTTACGTAATAAAATTATATTGAATACGTCGCTTGGCTACCAGATCGTTATTCCAAGGGAGGAGTTATGGTCAATGTCATCATACACGCCAATTCTGGACCCGGGTCTTCTCTATAGCCCGCCTATTAACGTGGCTTCTTTCACCCTTTGCGTGTTGAGTACTTCCTTCATAGAAAAAAAAACCTGCCTCTAAATAAATATAAACTACCTCCATTGCCGAACGGTTACCATGCTAGTTTGCCACGCAGATGTCCCGGGTTCGATTCCTGGGCCGGAAGACAAATTTTTAAGGCCTACATTTATTTCTCTCGTGAGTTTAGGTGTAATTTGTGGTTATCTATGTGTGTGTCCATGGCACCTGCGATACAGGGTTAGTGCAGGACTATGAATGTGTGCGTTATTATTATAATATACTTAAAATAGATTTATATATGTTGTGTGCACGTATTGAGATACTTATGTATCAATGAGTAAATAAGGCACTTGGAAAATAAGACGCATCTTTCATAACCATGGGCTTATCGTATTTATAAATGGCCAGAAGTCTCAAACCATACAAACTGTCAATTTTTGAACTGAGAAATTAAACGACCGCAAAAAACTTCCGTACATATTTCGTTTGCTGTCTATTTTGTTATTGAAAATTAACTTCTTTTTTTCCGAATTTAAATTACGAATAAGTATTTGAAAAAACAAAGGCATCTAACTGGATGACGAAATACTTTCATAGATTTCTCATAGATGGCGCTACGGCTAAGAAGTCGTTGAAAATCAAATACAAAGATCCGACAAACAAGCCATAGAGAAATTCGTGAAGTCCGCTGGTTCGTTCCGTGGCTTAGTTGGCATGGCGTTAGTTGTAGTTGCTAGAAGACGTCGGTTCGAATCCGGCCGGAAGGAAGGATTTTTTTCTGTGTTCGATCTTTGTATTAATAATTAAAAATTAGTTTATGTGATGCGCAATACAATTAATAATAGAGAAATATTTCAAATGAGCCTCGGCTACACAGGACTACACTAGACTATTCTACCGACATTTGGAATCATTGAAAAAACTATAGGGTACTGTTTTGGCATAATACGTTACGTATTCAACTGATAACCCACTTAATTTCTATTTCATATTGAACATTCTTTGTACCCACTCCTTATAAGGCGGCGCATGGTACCTGGCTAAGTGAAGAAATAGATTTGTCACAGAGGACTCCATGGCGAAAAACTCGTTAAAAACAAAAAAAAACAGAGATCTGCAAGAAGCATATAGAAAAAATCGTAAGGCCCGTTAGTTCGTTCGGTGGCTTAGTTAGCATCTGACACGGTTTGCTGGAAGACGTTCTGCTATACCCTGATTTTCTTCCCGTGAATATGACAACTAAGCATTTATATTTTAATAGAACTGAATGTATGTATGAATGTATAGATGAATATATAATGTGAATAATTTACCACCACAACACGCGTTGACCAGGAGCAGAGACATTAGTGCCGTAATCCTGTGGATCACATTTTTGTAATAGTTAACCTTGTAAAATTGTAAAAGTGTCCAATAAATATTTTAGGGAAAGTTTTGTGAGTTTTTTTTTAAAAGACTGTTGCCCACCGCCGCCTAACAGTTCCAATTCAGCCGGATCTAAGAAATTTTTTCCAGGTATTCGATCTTTGTATTAGTTTGTATTAATAATTAAAAACTAATAAGTTTATTTTTCTTAAATTTATTATAACGCACACACACTCAAAATAGCTACACACTAGGGAAACCCTATTTATGTGGTTTGTGGGAAACCCTGTGTCGCGGGTGCCATGGACACACGCATAGACAACCTCAAATTACATCCAAACTCACCCGGTAATCGAACATGGGACCTCTGCGTGGCAGAATGGTAACCATTCGGCCACGGAGGCAGTTAAATTGTAATTAGTCCTACGAGTTTGTTAGCATTTTACAAATAAGAGGGGAGTTTACGCGCCGCAGACGAGCTGTAGTCGCGCGTATGTATCGCACATTTTGGTAAGAGATAGTTTTAATTTTAGTTTTGTTTGTTAATTTCAGTTAATTTGTGAAATGTAGCAACTACATGAAATTCTAAGTGTAAACTCCAGTGGCATACATACTCTTCTTGCTTGCGACGCGTTTGAATCGATTCACTACAACATAGGGATGGGTAATATAGCTTTTTCTGAATATCGTATCGACATTCGAAATCGGATATTGAGACTATATATTTTCTGAAACTATATGTATGTATATTCATGGATACAGCCCGCGTGCGCGCTGCGTTGATACATTGCCGTTACTGATATTCGGAATGAGATTTCGATACTATTATATTATTGGATACAGCCCGCGTCCGCCCTGATACTTTGCCGGTTGATTAATCATATTTATTGATTAATCAATAAATAAATTAATCGCATCGTCCACCATTGGATGGGAACGCGTTACGCCAGAATACAAATTTCCATCAAATAATTAACTTCCCTTCATACAGTATACACTTTCGAAGACGCACAAAAAACAGTTTCGTGTTGATATTCACTCAGTGAATACCTGATACGAAGCAATATTGGTATATAGTTAAAATTATATCATCAAAACATACTTTTATTTCAAGATTTTTTGTGTTTCTTGGACCATTTTTGTACAATAAATTAAACGCCAAATATTCCATTTATAATTTCTGTTGCTTTAAAGTAAAGAAAATTCTCCAAGAAGCTCTTCAAAATATGTCCTATGAGGATACAGAGAATTTATTTATTATCGTAAAATAAATGTTATCATGTTTAAGTGTACATTTTGTTGATTGGCAATTTATTGTTTAATTGTTTAATTTTATTTCATAAGATTCTCCTAAAAAGTATTTATAATATTAACAGTATCCACGTTTATAATTAGTAGTACTTTTTACTTGAAATACAAGAATTTTCTAGTTCAGGTACATGTGTTATTTTTACATTAAATCGCATAAGTAGTCTTTAGTTTTCTCTGTACATTATGTTACTGAATAAACAATTTTATTATTTATTTATTATATAGTTTGGAAAATATACGATTTCGTGTTGGTATCCACTCGTTAATCGCTCGGTTTGGTCCGGCATGGGTATAACATACGGCATGCGGATATTGCTCCGCATATCCGACATATAATCTTTTGTTTCTTTATATAGTCTTTGTAAGGATCAACACATATTGCCTCTTAATACTCGCCGGAATATTGCTGATTTAGTCTATTTGTTAAACATCATAAACGGTGATGTCGAGTAGTATTGTCATTAATATACCTACGCGTTCCATGAGATACTACCGTCCTGTTGCAGTTCCGCTGGCGAGGACTAAATATAGACAAAAGAGTTTTCTTTATAGGTCTTGCAAGAGTTTGAACGATGTGTTGAGCAAGAGTGAACTTAATATTGACATATTCAATTCTAAGTCGAACTCATTAAAGCGTAAACTTGGGGACGCGTTTGTTTAATGGGCGATCATTTCGTGGCGCAGGTATTGGGATATATGTGACTTGCATTGCGTACATGCATTCTTCATATATATGTGTATATGTATGTATATGTATTTATATATATATATATATATATTGTTGTTACGTAATAATTTTATTTGCTGTGACCACTTTCTAAGTGCTCATTGTTTAGTCATTATGTTATTTATTATAAGCGCAAACCTTTAATTGGCTGTAATGTAGGTATTTGTTGATGTTTTTAATTTGTTGTTAAGCTGTTGGTTTTCCACGAATAAATAAATAAATAAAATATAGTTTCTAAGATACACGATATGGGTACATACAATATATGTATACATTCCAATACCTATCCCTACTACAACAGCAGCGCAGATGACGCGTGTTGACAGCGCTGTAAACGCACGTTCGCGGAACGCGCATCGTCGACGCGTATAAGATACGCCCTGTACATAGGCTCTTACTCTGTATAGTTGATGTTAATAATCTGGCATAAGATTATTATTCAAAACTACTTAAGTACATATAACATGGATTCGTAAACAAAGTTAAACAGTTTAAATAATACTTAGAGAGCGATAGCGATAAGCAAAATATTTTTTGCAACGTTTTTCCAAGAAATAATTTAGTTACGTTTAAAACAAAGCCCCAATTATGTCATACTCGTATAGTTTGTATAACACTTCCTCAATCAAAGTCGAAGCGGTGCAATTAAGTTGATAGGTATCTGTGTTTAATACAAACACTTTTTTGTTAGCTAATTTGATTTTAAAATGGTTTATGATCGTGTCTGTTCACGCATGCGATTATAATTTAATGAATAGGTAGATATCAGATTTAAATATCAAAGAAGTAAGAAATATTATCACATAAGGAAAATTGATGGAAAATTTGCAGAAATGGATCAATACATCTTAATTATATTCTTCATTTTGAATAATTACAGTACTTTCCTAAAAAACATGTACCCAGATGCGCCTGTTTAAAGATTATTAGCAAAAATTCTCATAGAAGTCAATATTTGGCATTGAGCATTTGCCCCGATTTTTCTCTATCGACAAATATTCACTTTTTACAAATTATACCACTCGTGATTCCTTATTCTACCACAAATGCTACAGTGCTGTGTTTCGCGTTGAGGAATTAGGAGGATCTTAACATCGATAATATGTTAAGGTGACGACGCTATTTTATTTCAGATGGACCTTCTGAATGTACCTTCTTGTTCCGTATTTCAGGCACCAAGATCTTTGCCAGGCCTTCAAGCCGTAGTCAACCTACAACCTGACGCAGGATCAGGCGTCACCGGCGAACTGGTCTTCACACAAATAGTCCCCAACGGGCCAGTTACCATAGAAGGAAACGTCACAGGTCTAACTCCGGGTCTACACGGGGTGCACGTTCACCAGTCCGGAGCCATTAAGGATAATTGCAAAGATATTGGGCCGCACTTTATAGCGTATTATGTGAGTAAATATTTGTTGATGTATTTAAATTCTTTCATTGTGATCTTATGCGTTTGGTAACTTTAAATTTGTGAGAAATATGTAAGACAACGGTGATGTGACAATAACTTATACCGCTGTTTATAAACACACATTTGTAAAGGAATTAAATTACAAAAGGCTCCTATTTGGCAACGGTAGAGAACTTGAGAGTGTTTTTGTTAAAAGCGAAATAGTAATGTGGCTGCGTAAGCTTTTGAATGCAGTGATAGCATTGCGTAGTTTATTTGGGTCAATTTTAAAGGTAATAATTGTAAAATGTAACTAGATGTCAAAATAATTTAAAAAGGGAAAGTACAAAAACATATCCAACATTAATATTTGTATTAGGTCAAAATATTATACATAAATGACAAAGATTATATGAAGTTAAGGACTTATTTGTTTCATTTAATATATGAAGGGGCTGTATATACATAAAACCTTTGCCCACGGGAATAAATGTGTGAAGGCTTAAAAAAATCGGACACTGTATAGGTTAAGTTAATAGTCAAATAAATTGTTTAAATAAGTTGTTTTTCTCGGAAAATAATTGTAAATCTTTGGCGCCATTAAAAACTTACCTGCATTACGGCGTAGTATTGAAAAATACCCCGCAATTCACAAATCATATGCACAGTTATTAAAACTTGAAAAAACGACTAACAAAACATAAAAAAACTTAAACAAACTTGTCGCACGACTGTCATAACACAAACAAATGATGTTGTAACAAAAAAGGTATGTAAAGCATAAAAGCAGACAGAAAAACAAACAAAAATCTTAATAACATTCAATTCAAATCCAGGGTCGACATGGGGGACCTCGCGATCACATCCGTCATGTCGGAGATCTCGGCAACATTAAGGCGGAAGAAGGCACTGTGAACATTAAGATCGTAGACCATCTCGTGTCTCTATCGGGGCCCAGGTCCATAGTTGGAAGATCCCTGGCCATTACGCAAGCGGAAGATGACTACGGTAGAGCTGGCACGGAAGACAGTGCCTTGACTGGTTCCTCAGGGCCTGCAATTGCGTGCGGCATTATTGGATATCTAAATTAGTTATAGTGCAATGTTAATTTATTAGTCCTAAGATGATTGTAATACAGGAATTTTACAGCTACTAACTATAAGTTTTTCTTTTCGTATGTTTAGCTGTGTTATGAGTGTAACCACACTAGCATAATGTTTTTTAACCGAATTTGACCTTTTTTTGTTGGAAAGAGGGAAATATATGACTACTTTCCAGGCAAAGAAGCACCACTTTACGCCACACGTGTTACTCCACTCCGGTGCTCCGAGCAGCGGCTCGCGGATAAATTCGCACTGCTCTGAAACCAACTTATATTTGAAAACTTCAGCGTGTTTTCACTTCAAATGGCCGGCCACTTTTTTCCTAGCATAGTATAAATAGGAACAAGCAGGGCAACAACCTTGTTGTGATAAGACCACATGTACAAAATGACTACTTGTCAGAAGAGAACTTTTAGGAACGAAATTAGTCGATTACCTACTTATTTTTTATAAATATAAAAGTGACGGGACGAACAACTCGTGGGCCCGGTGGTAAGCGACACGCCTGTCCATAACAGTTGCAATGCCACTAAAAGTTTTAAATCACAAAGATCTGAGAGGCACTGCCCCTGCGCCTGTCGTTCTGCCACAAAAGATAACAAATCCCGGTATTTCTCCAGCGCCCTTATCCTTCAAGTCGACCGCAATGAATCTCACATTATACTGCTTGGCGGCAGAAATAGATAAGGTGGCAGTACTTCCCTGGACGAACTCTTTCACAAGGAGCGCTACTGTTACTTCTTATTTAAATACTTCTTTCTTTTTTAGTTAAATTATAACATAATTTAACTAAAGGCAACTTGGCAAAAAAATATACTGTTAGTTTTGCATAGCGGTAATTAGAATTTATAGTTTGACCTGGCGTTAGTGTCTGCATGCCTTGTATAGACTCGTGGCCCGATCAAGATGGTACAGTCGCGTCTCAATGAGTAAATGAATTTAAGTAGTTACGGTCTGACCGCTTATCATTCTATCCAGACATATGGATGAGGAGGTCTCGGGTTCGATTCCCGGCAGGACCAAATTGGGTAATGAACTTTTCTAAATTGGATTATATTTCATATTATCAGATCGTCTTTCAAGTGCCGCAGCAGAGGGTTTATTTGACCTGAATGACATTTCGATGCATAAACTATTTGCGAAGCCATGAATTCTTAACATCGAATATATCAGAAATAGAGACGAAATGTTATTTAATTTGTTTGAAAACTATTCTGCCAAATCATTACGGTGACAACTGCGCTCCGATTGGCCAGTCCGAATTCGAAACAATTGACGGGTGTCGTCAATTGTTTCACTTCAAATCGATGAGTTTAACTTCAGCTTTGCTATAATGGGCGAAAATTGAAAAATTACATATTATTTAATATTTAATTAGCGATGAAATGTGATTCCGTATGTTTTGTAATTGAGTTTTGCTGTTTTTCCCACACCACCGAATGGAACAGGCCCCATTGTTAGAGATATTATCTTCATTGCAATAAATACGGAATATTTTTGGAATATGTGGAGATACAGATCAGTTGCTGGCGCTGTACTATTTCAGCTTTCTAATTTGTGATTTCACCGCATACGAGAGTTGATATTTAAAAGTGATATAAGGCCCATTTGCCTGATGAGGTGCCAGAGATGGATGGCCGTTATTTCGTCTCTATTTCAGGTTATGCACTCGATGATACTTAATAAAACTCAAGAAAATATTCCCATTTGATTTAATTCTGAATCAGTATAGTAAAGTTATACCAAAAACTTCATAACAGAAAAATGCAACTTTAAAAAACAATAAATACATTATGATTGCGAGCACCACAGAGTTGTGAAAAATGTATAAAGAGTTATCCTTAAATTTATTATGTGATGTTTTACACCTGACATTTACCCTAGTTGTGAAATAAATACATTTTTTTAATAGACGGAGGGCATTGGAAGAGAGCATTAAATAAACTCCTAATAAATAAACGCTTGTCAAACAATGTCACTTGATTATAAGAGTTTTTTTAAACATATTGAGATAAAAGTTTTAATCCAAAGTTGTACACATCCGCCATTTAAAAAAAAACATTTGCGCAGGAAGTAGTACAACGTCTCTTTACAATTTACCGCGAAAATGTTCAGACACCGGAAGTAGGAATTGTTTTTTTTTATCAGGCAGTGTCTGTTACACACTGTAAAAGTGATGTTATACTTCCATTATCATTATCACTATACTTAAGTGACTTAATATATTTCATTAATTTCTAAATGAATTTTATTCGTGATACAAATATTTGATACTATCGACTTTTGGGACATTTTGTTGTGCATGTCCGTAACGCTATCGCATTTGGGCCATAAATATTTTCAGTAGCGTAAAATCGAGTAGTATGAAATTTATTATTTGGTCTATAAGTATTTATTGGAGGCCAAGGGAAGCGACCAAGCTCTCGACTTTGGCGATGTAAGCCTTTTGTGCGTCCTCTTTCGAAGTGCCGGCTTTGGCGCTCCACGCGTTGAACTTTGCCTTGCCCTTCAGGTCCAGCATACCGGGTTTGTCTGAAAAAGATGAATAAGTTTGTGTTAGCTTTGTTGTTATAACTTAATTTTCGAGTAGTAGAGCTTATGTTTCTGCCGCCAAGCAGTAATGTGAGCATTACTGCGTTCCGGTTTGGAAGAGTAAGAGTGCTGTTAAACGGGTAAAATTACAAGCACATGGGACTATAGTCCATTTGTTTAGGTACTTGACTAAATGTCAACAATCTTGATACATCTTTTTATTGAAACACATGCTTTACAAATCAATAGGTATAAAAATAGGCATGCAATTTCATATTAAGCTAAGTATTTGTATTTTGTATTTGAACGTAAGGGAAAATCATTTTATAAATGTATATTTCATTAAATAGACATCTCAAGATTGTTTACATTTATTTAAGTACCTAAACAGATGGACTATAGTGAACTTATATCCCAGAATGGCGGGCGCAAATAGGTACCTCTAAGATTTTTACGATTTAAAACTGACAAGACCACAAAGCGACGAGATGAACAAGTCTGATGGTAAGCTACACGCTTGTCCATAACAGTTGCAGTGCCACTTAGAGCTTTAAATCGCAAATATATGGAAAGCACTGTCACCCTGGTACATAAGTTGACAAGTCCCTTCAAAACTGGAGCGCAGTAACGCTCACATTGCATCCGTTTGGCGGCAGAAATAGGTACAGTGGCACAGTACTTCCCTGCACTTTTCCTTTCACAAAGGGCTCTACAGCTACTATATTGGTGTTGATGGTATTGGTTTCTATTTAATTGAGCTGCAAGTGTACAGAAAAGAGTAGCTGTACCCCTGAAACCTGAAGCTTTTGTAGCAGTAACAGTGACATTTGTATATCTACATAGTGGTATTTACATAATCTCGCAAATCTACACATTTCTAGGTTCTTTGCTATCAGTTTCTAGAATTTTAGTTGAAATACACTCTAGTTTGAAATGTACGTAAATCTTCCCTTTTTATCTTTAAACAGAGTAAAATCCGAAAATTTGTAAGTTTTTTTAATAGTACGCAAATCATAAAAACGAAGTGTTTGAAGGGAAATTAAGATTTTTTTCATCGAAAAGTTTATGGTATATTTCAAATTTAATTTCGCACATAAATTACGAAAAACTCGGAGTTACCCAACCCACGACCATGTTGAGAGGCAGTAAGTCATACCATTATACCACGATAATGCACCAATATCTCCTATCTAAAAAGGGCACTTTAGAAAAAAATATCCAAGGTATTTCCGCTATAAACTTAGTACGTTTTCGTATTGTAAGTCAATGGTTTTCGTAGTAAAATTAAAGTCTAATATTTGAACAGAATTTTCTATAAGTGATTTAAGGCGTGAACAGTCAAATGTTTGATTATGAGATTTTGCCAGTACGTGCAAAATCCCATTCTACGTCGAAGTTAGGAGGTAATGGTACTTCTAGAGTCAGAAATGGTCCGATTCACCGAAAAGCTAACCTAAGGTCGACAAAAAGAGATAACAGGTACGATTACAACGATAATTTTGCAATACTAATGCCGCAATATTAATAAAGTGTTACAATACGACCTCTGCAATGTCAAAGAGAATTATAATGTAATAAGAGATCATAACACGATTAAACATCTAATTAATACATCTGATTACATGATATCGGATTACTTGTAGAATGTTGGCTCAACTTCGCGTAAGGTTGATATTGATATTGCGGCGGAATTGAAGTGATTTTTAATAAAGATGTTGTACATAGCAAAATGGTCGATTGTGTAACAAACAAGCTAGATACGAGCCAAAATCTTCCGCGGAATGCGCGAGCATTCTCGAGCATGCACAAGGATTATTTGATTATGCAAGGATTACTTGAAAAACCAAGTACAAAGACACGACGCAAGCACATAGAAAAATTCGTGAGGTCCGTTGGCTCGTTCCGTGGCTTAGTTGGTATAGCGTCTGACACGGTATGCAAGAAGACGTCGGTTCGAATCCGACCGGATCGAAGGAATTTTTTCTGAGTGTTTTTTCTGAGTGTTCGATATTTGTATTAATAATTATAACAAACTAGTGGAGTAATTTCACAAAAAATAATTGAATATCAATTCAATAAAAATTTAATTAATACAGTGAATAGCGACATCTCTCGCCAGGACTGGTAGCTGTAAAGGTACTAACTGGGTGATAAATCTGTCAAAGATTTCTCATAGATGGCGCTACGACTAAAAAGTCATTGAAAAACCAAGTACAAAGACACGACGCAAGCACACAGAAAAATTCGTGAGGTCCGTTGGTTCGTTCCGGGGCTTAGTTGGTATAGCTTCTGGCACGGTATGCAAGAAGACGTCGGTTCGAATCCGACCGGATCGAAGGAATTTTTTCTGAATGTTCGATCTTTGTATTAATAATTATAATAATAATCTAGTTTATACGTTACACAATTGATCATAAAGTTCATTATGCTTTGTACAATATTGTTACAAAAATTCGCTTCCATTCCATTCCGCCGCAATATAGATTGAGGCCAACACGTACTGTTTTCCACAAAAAAATTTAGAATACTTTAACTGCAATAAACGCTTTGACAGACAGTTAACGTTACTGCAACCAAACTATTCTTATTTTATTCAAATCAAATGTTTTTTGTGCCGTCAGCGATGGAAAAATCAATCATATAACAACATTCGCTGTATCGTATTGACTCGTTCACCGTAAATACTGAATCAACCCTTCCGATCCCGTGCCGCCCGCATCAGTCGCTGCCGATCACGTTTCTCTGGTAGTTCGTCCGTCTTGGCACCGGGCGTCTAGCTCTACGTTTACTTTGACGTGGTCGCCTTACAAGTCTGCTCCGTCGACCAGAAGCCCTCCGGCAGACATTTCCGACCCGGTAACCTATCACAAAGTCGAAATTTTTTTTGTCCGAAATAACGATTGTTCGAATTTTCATTACACCGAAAACCGAATTATAACGAAACAGTAGTTCTTTCAGGATATGTTGAATGCTTATCGCAAAGACACGATTAGGTTAGGTTAAGTTAGGTTTAAAAGAAAAAACATTTTCTTTGAGGTTATGAAATTTGCGAGCGGTACGGACTCTGGCTTTATTTGATTCAACACTTTCACTGTTATGCGGGATCAACCAAAGCCATGTGAGGTAGTAGACTCTTAAGTTTACTGATTTTGCGAGCTATGTCGGTTACTTTAATTGTTCCTTTCATCAACGAAGAGATTTATTTCCATCAATGGGTGTAAGCAGATGATGACAATGCAACAATATTTTTCCGAGTGTCTAGTCCGCCACACTGGTATAATGCGAATTGTCACACGTTTTCCAGGGGTAGTGAACCTTCTTCGACATGCAGTTTTCCTTCAGCGTTAATCAGAAGTTCTTCTACTAAATATTCATAAATGTGTGAAACTTCTGTTATATCTGGTACATCTTGCTTTTCAACAGCGATGCCGGTTTGAATATTATTATGTATCAACAAATGATTTATGTTTTTAACTATTAATTATTATCTTAATAATGTTTTAGGTATTGTATTGAAAAGTACACGGGAACTTTCGGGAGAGTGCTGCAAAGAGATAAGTTGTTTTTCGTCGATAACCTGCTTTCCAAATTATTATTATATTTGATGGCTACGTTCATGACACAGAACAATAAATACAGTAGAAGTGGTGGTAAATCAATATCACGATTGCGTAATGTTTCAAATTAACAGTTTTGGCGACATCTGTTCTGATAGTAATCCAGACTTAAGACACTTCCATTGTTTTTTTTTCTTCCGTGAGATACACAACCTTTGGCTGCCCTTTTTATTTACCGTTTTTAATTTTTATTATAGTCATACAAACGCAAATACTTTTAAGCAGAATTGTTATTACAATAATTTATTACTATTAAGTTTATATTTGATTAAAATAACAATATTTTTTTAAATGTAATAAAATAAAAATAAAAAATTAAATTATAATTAATAATAAAAATAAAGTCAGTGTATGATCGATAGGGATGGATAAGGTCAGGTCGTCGGTTAGCATCGCCACAAGACTGAGCTGAAACGTCGCGAGTAGAACCTGTTAATCATCATCATCATCATCAGCCTATTGCAGTCCACTGCTGGACATAGGCCTCCCCTAATGCACGCCATTTCATGAAGGGGGTTATTGCCCATAATCTCCACGCTGGGCATGCGGGTTGGAGATCGCTGGACGCTGCCTTTGTACTACCGACGCTGCTGCCCGTCGGTAGCCAGCAGATTTGACAGCGCCAATGTGGGGAAGGGCTATACCGCCTACTACCGGTCGCCAGAGCCTCGTCGGTTACTGCAGGATGTACCGCGTGCAGGTGAGGTTGACAATAAGAGCTGTGATGGTGTGTGCCCCCTTACATCCCCGTACATACCTGTTAATAAACGAACCGGAAAAAAGGTTTATGATCTATGAAATGTCACTTTGACAGTGACAGTTGTTTGTTTACATTTTGGGACTCGTTTTATCGTTTCGTCTTCAGAGTACAGTAGGACAAAATAGTGAACAGTCTCGGTAGCTCACTTGTCACTTGTGTTGTGCAAACAACTACTTTAAACACATTTACGCATTAGACTTAAGCCCAAACGTAAATAACTTGTTGAATTAGTAAGAAAAGTGTCAGAAGTCGATATTTTACGAAGTATCTACTGTTGAAAAAAACCTGTTGAGAAAAGTAATAATTGAAAACTAGAATTCAGAAAAAGCATTTAGCGCACCCATGAATGGTACGATGGACCAAGATCGTTAAAACCGTGTACGCATGAAGTGTTAGAGCGGTTATAACGCGAACACGATGCAATCGCTAATCGTCTACCTTTTTACACGCTCGCGACTTTAAGCAGCGATGTAAACGCGATGCAAGCGCGCAACTGCATCGCTACACTTAGGATATAAAGGCAATTCCATCGATGCAATAGCGCGTTTGTATGCAATCGCCTACAAATCGCATCGCTGCTAAAAGCAACCGTATGTAACCACTCTTAATGGTTTAATTACCCTATTGTAATAGAAAGGACAAGCCGTTCCACGAGACATCATTCATCGGTGCAAATAATATTTCTTCAACCATACCAGCCCAGTAATAAGCAGTACCCGCCCAGGTAAGTACCAAGGTCCTAAGTCTACCGCAAAGAATCAGCAATTTATTTAGTATTATGTAATATGTATAAGAAAGAGCAAGTGCAATCACAGGCACAAGAGACTAGGCACTCGACCTGTGTCTGCTTGGTTTTTTTTTATAATATCTAGTGACGGGACGAATAAGTCGTGCGCCTGATGATAAGCTACACGCCTGTCCATAACAATAAAATCACTAATAAAAGACGAAAAGATATTGTCTGCCCCAAAATTATATCATCAAAACATACTTTTATTTCAAGATTTTTTGTGTTTCTTGGACCATTTTTGTACAATAAATTAAACGCCAAATATTCCATTTATAATTTCTGTTGCTTTAAAGTAAAGAAAATTCTCCAAGAAGCTCTTCAAAATATGTCCTATGAGGATACAGAGAATTTATTTATTATCGTAAAATAAATGTTATCATGTTTAAGTGTACATTTTGTTGATTGGCAATTTATTGTTTAATTGTTTAATTTTATTTCATAAGATTCTCCTAAAAAGTATTTATAATATTAACAGTATCCACGTTTATAATTAGTAGTACTTTTTACCTGAAATACAGGAATTTCCTAGTTCAGGTACATGTGTTATTTTTACATTAAATCGCATAAGTAGTCTTTAGTTTTCTCTGTACATTATGTTACTGAATAAACAATTTTATTATTATTATTAATTGCAGTGTCACTCAGAGCTTTCAATCGCAGAGAACTGAGGGGCACTGCTACGCAGTAGCAGTCGCCCGCCCATCACCCTGAGACATAAGTTTACAAATCCTTCAAAATTGGAACAGCAGAAACAGGTATGGTGGCAATACTACCGTAGACGAACTCTTTCACAAAGAGCTCTACTGCTACTAATTACTAGTTGGACTTTAAACTGAGCGATCCGATCTAGTTCAATAGCACTGAACTAGTTCAGTCGTTTAGTTTTTTTAGTTCGTCTTGTCCTTGCTCGGACATTGATCGAACATGGGCACGGGTATCATCACAGGCGAGGGCTTGCGGGGATTTCACGTTTTCCGAGGGTTGTGAATCTTCTTCGACGTGCAAGTTTTACCACGATATTTTTCTTCACCGAAAAACTCATTGTAAATTTGAAATTAAATTTCGTACATAAATTTCTAGAAACTCGAACCCACTCTCCTCTGCGTAAAAGGCGATAGGTTAAACCATTAAGCTATCACGACTTTTTCTTACTATGTCGAAACTTTATTAAATATTTAAAAGTACAATTTTATGTGGTATCGGTACTATTTGATTAACCTGACAAATATAAATGCGACGTTAAGGGTTACGTATAAGAGCTGGTAACGTTTGCATCTCACTCGAACACTTATTGTCCCGTTCTTTTCTTTATGATACCAAGAAACGTGACGAACAAGTCATTCGTCTGGTGAACCCACAACAGTTGTAGAGCCACTCACAGCTTTAAATCGCAAAGATTTGAAGGGCATTGCCACTGCGCCCGCCGTTCTGAGACATAAGTTGACAAGTCCCATGTGCCTGTAATTTCACCATAACGTATTATTGCAGAAATAGATAAAGTGACATTACTTCCCTGGACGAACTCATTCACAAGAAGCGTACAGCTACTACTACCGCTCGAAAAAAAGACAGGTGAACTATTTAAGATCACCTCGCGTCTTTGACTCCGCTACGCATACAGTTCCTCCTGAATTAGAAAAAATCATGAACTATTAAGATCATACAATAGGGTGTAATTCCTTAAAACGGCGCGCGGCGACGAAACGCGTGCGCATCGGACAAGGGTTCAGGGGACGAAGCGGGAAGGGGTGCTGCGGTGCGTAAGCAAGCGACGTTACGTTGCGACACCGCATTGCTCGTGTGGCACTCGATGCGTTGAAATCATAGCGTGACGACGACACAACGAACTCGCTCTTAAGCAAATTACACTTGAAATCTTTATATTTATTACAATTTCTAAAGTCAACGTCTTATCGTTTATGTAATCTCTAACAGAGTAATATCCTTTCGTTAGTAAAGTAGCCTTTACATGATGCTTGAACTTATCAAGGGGAAGGTCCAAAACAGCTTTTGGAATCTTATTACAATATAGACTACCGTAAACCTCATAAGAACTGAGAGCCTTTGAAGTCTTAACTTCGATAACACAAGCTTCCATTTATATCTGGTATTTAAATGATGTATGTCACTCCGTTTATTTTACAATTCATTATTAAGACTCACAAAAGTATACAATTGTAAATAAACTGTGATGCAGTTGTCAATAAGCCAATTTCCTTAAAAATCTCCGTATGTGCGATATGTGAGCTTAATTTATAGATTGCTTTGACCGCACGCTTCGCAAAATAAAAATTGTTTGGATATTACAGATGCGCCCCACAAAAAAAGGCCGTGTGAAAGTAACTGAAGTAAACGGTTCTGGCTGTCTCAAAGTCAGTAAGTTGTCTGATTTCCCTAACAATTCGTTACAGAAGAAATTCACTATAGAAGGGTCGGTCCAAATGACAAACATTAGACCCTCGCTTACAAATACACATAAACACAAATAAATAACCGTATGTTCTGACTGACCAGCGACACATTTATGACATTTAGAATATTTTTAACCAATTTCCTTTAGGGCGCGTACCCAGTATGTCGTGACGACAGATGTCGTGCAGTTTAAAGTGTCGTGGTTTGTATATTTAAATAAAGTCATACATAGTACAACACGAGTAACTGTCGTACACGACTTTTTTAACGTTACGACGACAGACCGTCGAGACAATTGGAAGAGCTAGAGCGACTGTCGTCTGATGATAAATAAATCGTAGATACTTTTGTCGTCATGCTTTTTATCATTGTCTGCACGTGCACTGACTAATTGTCGTCACGATCTAGTGGGAACAGCTAGAGCCGGCAGTCGTTCAACGATAAAATAAACATCCACGACAAATAGTCGTGATTTGGGAACAGGCTAGACGCGACATTCGTCCAACGATAAATAAAACGTTACGACATAATGGGAACGTGCCCTTAGGTGAACCATGTGGCATGTTGTAACCGGCAATATATACCATGAATGAATAAGTGAACTCACTGGCAGGGTCGGCGTCCCCAACAGTAGCCTGTTTGAAGAGGGCATACAGCTCCAAAAGGTCGCTGTCGCTGGGCAGCGACTTCAGGTTCTTCACGTCTTTGGCGGCTTTGTCGAATTGCTAGAACATTTAAAAACAACATCAAATTAATACCTACAGATCAAAATGAATATAGTTCGTTTTTTTACTACGAATAGACGTGCTCTACGATTTTAATAGAAAAAAAATATTTATACAGCGTAAAATAACAACAACCTCGCAGAATCATAATACTAACATCATAAACAACAATTTTTGTTCCATGACTTGTTTTTACAATATCTTAATAAACGTAAGAAGTTGTATGAAAAGGATAGTTGATGTATGTAAGGTTCAAGGTTGTGTCAGGATAAAGTGGCGTTCCGTAGTTCACGGAGTAGAAAATTAATTTAATTCCATTTCTATTAGCTTAGGTAAACCAAACGTTTCGTTAGATAAACCACAACTACTATATTATTATATTGCTACAAAGTACATTTTATATAATTATTAGTCATACAAAAATCGAACAAACAAAATTCCTTCAATCTAACGGGAGTCGTCTGTGTGCATTATTATAACAATTTTTTAAATTTACATTTTATGGAAATTTCAATAACAGTATTTTTTTTATTTGTTGTATAATGTAAATTTACAAATCATAATTTAAAATACAGACATACATACACCTATGTTTATCAAATTCACCTAAGAGCCTTTGCACACGGCGTACTTTATATGCGCCTTAAATGCGCGTAATCTGCGCGTATACGCACCGCAGACGCGCTGTAGTAAATCGATTCAAACGGGCGCAACCGTCGCCTTCCAAGCAAGAAGCTTATATAGAATTTCATGTAGTTGCTACATTTCAAAACTTAACACACAAAACTAAAATTAAAACTATATCTTATCGAAATGCTCGATACATATGCGCGTTTACAGCGCGTATGCGCGCAGATGACGCGCGTCATCGACGCGTATAAAATACTTTAAGTCATAGGGTTCCCAAACTTTTAGGCTCGCCGCCTATCATTTCATATTTTTGAGTAAGAACTTTTTGTCCAGAACTAGCTCACAAAAAGCTTGTCTCATTTTCAGTTAAGTAGATATCTTTTAATTGTTTCTTACAATATTCTAACGACGGTCTTATTAGCGTGTAGAGAATCTAATTTTACGTTCAGCAATAGTATAATCTTGAATTTCACATATTTTGAGTTACAACACTATTGTAGGTAACCTATCAGTAGTCCGAAATGACATTTTCCAGAAATAACGTTTGGTCGAAATTTCATAACCTCGAAAGTAATTTTGAGAGAAAAATGTTTTTTCTTTTAAACCTAACTTAACCTAACTTAACCGAATCTAATCGTGTCTTTGCGATAAACATTCAACATATCCTGAAAGAACAACTGTTTCGTTATAATACGGTTTGCAGTGTAAAGAAAATTCGAACAAACGTTATTTCGGACAAAAAAATTTGTGATAGGTTACCCTATTGTAATAGCAGTGGGATTATGTAGTGTAGTTTATGCAGATAATGCAGGTTTTTTTTCAAATGCGGTAGTACCTCTTGGCAGCATCATCGCCCCCAATTGTTTCCAAAGCATCTACTGCCCCCCCCTAGGACTTTTCAGCGCCCATTGGGGGTCAGTACGGACCACTATGGGAAACTATGCTCTAAGTTTTTGACGGCCGGCGCACAGTGGGACCAAAACCCGAAAAGGTGATCAAAATTATTTTGCATACCTAACTATAAAAATATTTATTTATTATTAATATAATATGTTTTTAATGCACTTAAACTACTTTTTATTATGTATGTCATTATGTCATTATGTACATCATGAATTTTGTTACGAATTTTTACCATATTTACTTGTTTTAAATGTTTTGTTCTGCAAAACGAAATGCATTTTTTATATATATCCAAGTTCAATTTATTTATTTGTCTACATAAGTTAATTTATGCAAAATATTTCTTTACGGACATACATCTATACAGTGTTTTTTTTAAATGGGACAGTACGGGGAAATCCGATACCATAGAAGACACAAAGAAACTTGTGTTAGGAACCATTTTGTCTTTTTTATGAAAACAATTTTGGCGTAGTCAATTTTTTGGTCGAGCGTGAGTTGTCTATAAAAATGAATAAAATTTATCAAATCTACTTTTAGTGCTAATCGTCTAAGTTTCATGAGGGGATCATTTCATTGTATGAGACGAAAAAAATCGGGACAGCCGAAGTTGGTCGAATTTCGTATATTTTTCAATATTTTTCATACAAAATTAATCAAATTGCCATTTTTTAATACTATTACACTCAGTTTCTTACAAGTACGATTTGTAACTTGTAAGTTTTTTACCATTACCGACTTCTTTTAATTTTCCTTATACCTTCAAACTTATATTCATTCGTACATGCTGTATTAATGTCTGAAATCTATAATTCTTCTACGTTTCGTAGAATCTCTTGCATTCAGAAAATCTGATGAAGGTCGGCCTTGATAAGATTATGCAATATTTATTAAAAATGCACGTCTATTTCAGCCAGTCTTTCTCTTTTTCTAAAAATATTTTGCGGTACCGACTTATTACACTCTCTCCATTTTAAAATAAATGCTTTTTCAAAATAATCCTTAAATATAGTTCTTAACTCTGGAATGTGTTTTTCTTATTCAATACGAGTATTATGACTAAATATATTTTGGTTATGGTACTTATTTTGATCACGTTTTAAGGCCATATTGATCCACACAATAAATAAACAATCCACGTATAAATATATCATTAAATACACAGAACTCCTTAATAATAAAATGGATTGACTTTATGACAGAAAATAAATTGAAATAGCGTTCTTTACTACCACAGAAGTATTGCAAAAGTAAAGCAGATTTACACAAAACATTAACAAATAAAATTCGACCTTTGAAACTTCAATTCCAGAATTAAAATATTTAATTCTACCCGGATTTCCTTTTTTCTTAAATATACAAAATTACTAAACAGGCGTTTCACTTTGGGAAAGGCAAGTGGCCATAACCATTGACTTCACTATTTTAAACTACATCCCTTAGTGCATCAAATAATTCCTATACGATATATCATATCTCGGCCGTTTGCCTTCACACAAATTACAAGCACTTAAATGTAAAAGTTAACTAATTCATTTCAAAACGATGTATTACGTATATTAAATGTATATAAAACTTATTAAGATATATAATCGGTTCTCGAAAAACCACTAATTAATATTGCATTGTTATATCAAAATAATATCTTGTATTATTTTAGTGAAACTCACAACTTCTGAAAACAATATTATTATATATTTTTTTTGTCAAGTTTCCCAACTTTACACAATTTTCTTCTCTTATTTTATAAACAAAATCGATAGTATTTAATAGCAATATATAGCAAAATTGATCGAGATTATGATTATGTAACACTTGCCTCGAAATATCTAATTTTTCGTTTTTCGACTTTTGATCTCGTTTTGGGGTTTTGGCCCCACTGTGCGGCGGCGGGCGTGTGGTGCTTGTATATCTACTTTTTTCTATTCAAAACAAACAAAAAAGCCTCTAAAATTCAGAGACTTTCAAGTGGAATGTCGAGCAATCGTGAGTCACAAAAAAGTCTAAAACAGTTATAATGACCGTAACCATCTCTTTAGATGAAGCTATTCATGTACTCTGTTATACCGTGCTTGATTATTTAAATGTACTAAATATCTATCTACATAAGGTCCAAATTTACTAAACAACATTGTGCTAAGGGTTCAGTACATAAAACCAAACAACATTTACAATGGTATCCCACTGAGATGGCAAAATAGAGATGCACCTCTATCGATAATACATGATGGATGAATCAAGTTTTTACATTTATATTTATAGAAAATATTACAGAAAATACTGTCTGTGTTTGGTAACGCCTGAGACAAAACTTCAAATAGCACTCCATCATCGTGATTTTTTCTTGAAATTTTCTTTTTCCTTGAACTAACAATAAAAAAACAATTATCAAAAACGTTGTTTCTTTACGGCCTTGTATTATACTCTAAATTATGGTAAGGCTGCTCACAGATTTTGCCGAGACTGCAAGAAGTTGATATCGATTTCACGCATAAACTGCATGAAGCCGATCTCGACTTCATGCAGTTAATGCGTAAAGTCGTTATCCGAGACCTCGACTGCATGAAATTGATAACCATTTCACGCATTAGCTGCACGAAGGCTTTATCAACTTTACTAATTAACTGCAAACATGCAGTCAATCTGTTAGCAGCCTAAGGGCGACACTACACTTATTAACGCGGATTCGGTTTAAGTCGGTCAGAATTTTTTCAATAACTAGGTATAGTCACTTTTTGTTTTAGACAGCATAGGTTTCCTCTCCTTGTTAGTAATACATCATTAACCCATTTATATGTTCCTGCTGGGCTCAAGTCTCAATGCGGGTTGGGGACTTCACAAGTTTCCCGAGGGTTGCAAACTCAAAACATAAACTGAGAAACTCAGAGGTGCGAGTTCGGATTTCGAACACACGGCCTCAGCTTGAGAGGCCGTAGGTCTCCTTTAGGCTACCACGGCTTCATTAGTAATACAAAAACTGATCCACACAACACAATACAATTACAATTACGTGCATAAGGTATTTTTTAACTGGCTTGCAACACCGGCACGTCAATGATATGGTCTTGGTGTCGGCCAACTTTTTACCAAACAATTCAGAATGGTAATGGAACTACTACACGTCCTATGTTGTTGTAGTCATCACGACATAAAAGTCATCAGATCGCGCGTCTGTGAATATGTCAGATGCACTGCAATATCGCGACAATCCCATACAGCACTCATCTGGTGGTTTACTACCTTTGCCATAGGCGAGACGAGACAAGGTGAAATGAGAAATGAATTAAAAAAAAAATAATAGCTGCATCACAAATTTATTATTAGTTTCTACGTAACATACATCAGTCTCATACAAAATTGAAAATACCTACGCTATAATAGCCTACTAAATCTGACTAATGACACTAGGCATTCACTACGAAGAAAAAGGAACCTAAGCAAGAGCTCAGAGAGATGAAAATAACGTT